ACCAGTGTGAGACCAGAGAGAAAACAGAGAGAGAAACCAGAGAGAGACCAGAGAGAGAACAGAGAGAGAGACCAGAGAGAGACCAGAGAGAGAACAGAGAGAGACCAGAGAGAGAAACCAGAGAGAGACCAGAAAGAGAAACCAGAGAGAGAACAGAGAGAGAACAGAGGGAGAAACCAGAGAGAGGGACCACAGAGAGAGCAGAGAGAGAGACCTGAGAGAGAGACCAGAGAGAGACCAGAGAGAGACCAGAGGGAGAACAGAGAGAGAGACCAGAGAGAGGGACCACAGAGAGACCAAAAAGAGACCAGAGAAAGACTAGAGAGAGACAAAAGAGACCAGAGAGAGAGCAGAGAGAGAACAGAGGGAGAAACCAGAGAGACGGACCAGAGAGAGAAACCAGAGAGAGACCAGAGAGACCAGAGAGGGGGACCAGAGAGAGAAACCAGAGAGAGAACAGAGAGAGACTAGAGAGAGACTAGAGAGAGACAGAGAGAAAACAGAGAGAGACCAGAGAGAAGGACCAGAGAGAAGGACCAGAGAGAGACCACAGAGAGACCAGAGGGAGACCAGAGGGAGACCAGAGTAAGACTAGATCCAGCTTTAGCAGCAAAACAAATAAATCCGTTGTAAACCCGTGTTGGAGGCCGGTCCCACATGGTTTATCTGGAGTGAGCACTTCTCTGGTCTCTCTCCGGGTCCGGTCTCCTCCAGAACAAATGGCTCTGATTTCTTGCTGTTTTGGTAGAAAAGTGTGTGGGCTACTTTAAAGAAGTTCTGTGGCTCCGCTCTGACATTTATCATCCACAACAGCAGCGTCCGCACACACACACACACACCCTGGACGTACACACACACACCCTGGACGTACACACACACACACCCTGGACGTACACACACACACACACCCTGGATGTACACACACAAACACACACACCCTGGATGTACACACACACACAAACACACACACCCTGGATGTACACACAAGAACACACACACCCTGGACGTACACACACACACAAACACACACACCCTGGATGTACACACACATAAACACACATAAACACACACCCTGGATATACACACACACACCCTGGACGTAAACGCACACACAAACACACACACCCTGGATGTACACACACACACTCTGGATGTACACACACACACACAAACACACACACCCTGGACGTACACACACAAACACACACACCCTGGATGTAAACGCGGGAGGTTGGCCACACACACCATGTGGACACGGGAATAATGGACTGTGTTTTGGATCACAGCTGTGGATGGGACCACACACACACACACACACACACACACACGCAGACGCACACACACACACACACAGGCGCGCACACACACACACACACACACACTGACCCAAACATATATATATAGATTAGTGCTGTACGTCTGCATTTCTTGTGTAAAGTGTATTGTATGCGTTACATATGTTTTGGCACAGTGCAAAAAGTGATGACAAATAAGTCTGGACTCTCTTTGGTCTCTCTCGTTCTCTCTCTCTGTGTCCTCTCTTTTGTCTCTCTCTCTCTCTCTCTCTGTGTCCTCTCTTTTGTTTCTCTCTGGTGTCTCTCTTGTATCTCTCTCTGTGTTCTGTCTTTTGTCTTTCTCTCCGGTGTCTCTCTTTCTGTGGTCTCTCTCTTGTCTCTCTCTCTCTGTGTTCTCTCTTTGTCTCTCTCTGGTCTCTCTCTTTCTGTGAGACCCAAACCCTTTTCAAACGTATATTTCTTGCTGCTTAAAATACTGAAAACAATAGACAAAGTAGAGTTAATGCTGATTAATCCATACATCTCCACTCCTCTCTCTTTCCTTCATCTGACAGACCATGAAACTGCATTCTAGGGACGAGCCCCAATATGTTACACCCAAGAGACGAGCCCCAATATGTTACACCCAAGAGACGAGCCCCAATATGTTACACTTTGGCTCTACAGGTGCAACTTAAAGGACAACAGGCAACTAAAAGTTAAGATAACTTATTAACAGCAACAAAAGTCTGAGGAATGAACACAAAGAAAACCAAAACGGTGAAGGCAGGAGAGAGAGAGAGAGAGAGCATGCAGTAGTAGTGTAGTGTAATGAGACAGTATTATTGTAGTAAGACATTACTTTGACACGCAACACTGCACATTATTTGGTCACACAACGATTTGGGTTTTATTTTTGCCCTGAGTTCAAACCTCTAGATAATAGAGATTTGTTTCAGCCTGGTCCTACAACACACACACACACACACACACACACACACACACACACACACACACACATAGAAACATACACACAGAGACACACACAGACACACACACACAGACACGCACACAGGCACGCACACACACACACACACACAGACACGCACACAGACACACACATACACACCCACACACAGACACACACACAGACACACACACACACACAGACACAGACACACACACACACACACACACACAGACACACACACACACAGACAGACACACACACACACAGAAACACACACACACACACACATACACGTTTTTGTTACCTGGTGGGTCCCTTTGACAGGGCCGTTCAGAATGGGACCCATAGACATAATCTTTTTTTACTGGGACTACTTTAAGTAATACAAAACAGTCAATAGAAACCAAACAACTATTTTAAAGGAATTTTATTTTAGATTTTGTTTTCGAATTGCAGTGATTCTATTTTTGACATCGAATTTAATGCCACTCCATGTCCGATGTCTAAGGTCATCTGGTGAGGCATTAATGCAGGCCAGGCAGTGAGACTTCCCAGGGACCTTTCCAGTCTGTATGAAAGGTGTCATGGTCTTCTCCACAGCCTTCACCTCAGATGCAGACCATGGCTTTCTTACACGTTCTAGGGAGAGAAATAAAAATATATTAGCAATATACACTCCCAGGGTTAGGACCAAGCAGCCTGGCTGTAATCCCCCACCTGGTACACTTACCAGAAGGGGCACTGCCACTACCATGGGGTGCATCTGGATGAATGGTTGAAGGTTCTCCGCTTGAAGTTTCTTTTAGCCCGTCCGTTTGTGAGAGGATCTCTACTGCTCTCCCTGTCGCACAGAAAATAAAAATACAAGTGGCCTTTAGGGGAAAAAAATCATACATATTTTAATAATATCAAGAATTACCTTCAGGCTCAATTTGTATCTGGTCGAGGCTCTTTCCTTCGAATTCCGTCACTCTTCCCTGCTCCATGGCCATCAACACTTTGCTGATTTTGGCCAGCTCCAGTGTCCCCTCTGGTAGTCTGTAATATTGCCTGTGGATGCGAATGTCATGGCCGAGGAAGTTGGCAAGTATGTCCATTTCATTCTCTTTCATATTGAGAACTGTAGACATAGTAGCTATGTGCTTTCTAAGTTTGGTTGAGGATAGCATCTCTGGATGCACCGCACCACATTCTTTGGCTACCTGGCGTAGGGAGTCTGATCCCCTGATGTGGGTGTCTGCGCCCGGGCGGGAAAAGAAGTATGGGTTATGGTCAGAGTGGAACAGGCCCTTCTGTTCTCCACCAGCACCTCCATCGAAGCAATCATTTCAGGAGTCAAAAGAACCGGCACTTTCCGACTTCTTTTCCCTTTAATTTCAATGCGTTGAAAATGCTGACACAGCTTTTTCTCAAGTTGGGACAGTCCCAGAGCAATGTCAGAATGGATCCCAGTCTTACTTCTTAAGGTAAAGGCTGTCAGTGGCATCTTTGAAACCTCACCTTCCCTTCTTCGATTGAAAATAATGACCTCACAAAGAGTCAAAACTGCCAGTTTAGACCAATGCTTAGACGTTGGCTCACTTATTAGGGTTTGCACATATTCAGGTCGACATACCTCAATATGTGCATGCATGGCTCTAACGTCCTCAGTCAGAGGGAGCAGGTCCGGAGTGTTCCACTTGGCTTGCCGGAGGGTCTGTAGGGCAGCAGAAGAAACACAGACGTCCCACCTCTTCTCAAAAAGCAGCCGGCTTCGTTGGAGGTTTTTAATAAATAGTTCATCAACACAATGCTCCATTTTTGAGTCACATTCAAGAATATCTGCTAGCTTTCTGAGGCTATGGCCGAGTTTGAGGGCCAAGGATGGAGTCTTGTATTGATTTGTTTCCTCATCATATCCAGCCACAGACCTGACTGCATCAATCACATGGTTAAAATTGGAAGGAATAAAGAAATCCTTAATTGTTTTCAGTTTCCCTGCAGTTTTTGCTTCGTTAATTAACCTACCGACTTCTCTCATTTTCTGCCTAATGTAATCATGCTTAGTCTTATCATGCCCGTGTTTTAAGTACAGGTGCTCTACGAGTCTCAGAATCCCCTTTTCTGCTTTGACAACACCCGTGACCTCATCCTGATGCATTGCCGAAATTAAAGACCACAGCTTTTTGCTGATGCCCTCCGGTACAGGCTGGGCTAGGGAGCAGAGGGACTGGACCCTACTTCTACCTGGTTTAGCCTGGGCATCTTTCTGTGAAAGCCGGCACCTGGCCACATGCCTCCACAGCGACTTTCGCTTAAGCAATGCCCCACAGTCTATACAGTGCAAAAACTCACTGGATTTAACTGGGAATTTGGCTGTTTAGCTGGGACTAAAGTTCCAATGCCGGCCTTTAAAACCTCAAAATTGTGCTCACGGTTTCCACTATTCCTGATCAAATCAAACTGAAGTTTACGTGCTTTAGATTTCACAGGTAGAGCCAATGCTCTGGCTACGTCACTTTCATTTCCATGTTTTCTAGTCAAATGACGGGACATTTTGTGGCAGGACATTGAACAGTAGAGGCAGAAGTGTCTCTTGCTGTAAACTCGCCCCCCATTTTTCTTCTTTTGCAGCTGCATGATAACAATCTTATTTGCCTTTGGTTCGTCACTTTCCGAGTCTTGAAGAAAAGTGTTTTTGATTTTTCTTTTTCCATACTTTTTTACAGGTTTCTTCTTGACAGTTAAATCGTCAGAATCTGAGTCGACTTCATCAATTAGGGACTCTTGACTAAGCTGCACAAACAACAAATAATTTGTAATCATTCTATATAACAATTTGAAGTCATGACTTGTAGTCAGCACTTACCAGTGGTTTGTAAGCGTGCGCTTCAGTGTGCTCCTCCATGATTTCTTGCAGCCTAATGAACCACACACTTGCACCTTTTTCTAGCCTGACACCTGATTTCCTCTGTTGTGCTGCTCCATGATTGGCTCCAGCCTGCTGGACTGAAATTGCCCCAGTGTGCCCCTCCTTGATATCCCGCAACCCACCACCAGGGTTCCGACACATAACACACTTTTTTCAGGAAAGTAAACCTCCAGGGGTCCTTTCCATATTTTTACAGAGACTGCATAAGGACCGTTAGAAAAGCATTACCCATTGATTATTAAGCTTGGACCAGTGGGGTCCGGTGTTCGGGCCCCACCACGTAAAACCAGTCCCCATGACGTGAGTGGAATCTCAGGTTATGGAACCCACCAGGAGTTGAAAACAAGTGCACAGACACACACACACAGACACACAGACACACACACACAGACACACAGACACACAGACACACACACACACACACACACACACACACACACACACACACACACACACACACACACACACACACACACACAGACACACACACACTCTCTCTGTTGTTGTGGAGAGGCTGCACGGATCTAATCGGCTTCTTGACAAATATTTCCTGAGACTGCACTTGTCTCCAGGTGCCGCTCTCACAGAGTCACCTTGGATCAAGCACTCGCCACAGACTCTGAAGATCGACGCCAAGAGGGACGCGAACAAAAGGGACGCGAACAAGAGGCCTGAGCACATAATGGGAGAGGGCGGCGTCTGTTTCCAATGAACAGTTTTACACATTTATCAGATCAAATCACTGTAGTGTGGTGTAGACATCGGGAACAGCAGTCCGAACACATCAGGTTCATCAGGAGCAGGATGTGCACTGTCTGTACATAAATGACTTGGATCATCACCGTCCGTAGATCCTCCTGCATCGACAAGGAACCATTTAAAATAAAGAAACAGTGAGAAGAAAGTGAGAAACCTCGGGGAGACCCACATTGACCCATATTAAAATACAGTAGGTCATGAATCCCATATCTACTGTTCTGTGTTTATAAATTAAAGGGGACAGAACTACAACAAGGTCTAGAGCTCTAAAATGAGAGATCCATTGTTGAGTCTCTCCTCGGCCTCACACCAAAGTACATCTGTGACATTTTGTTGACAGAAGAACCAATTCTGAGGAGCACAGGGACTGGCCTCCTGCTGGGACTCTGAGGAGCACAGGGACTGGCCTCCTGCTGGGACTCTGAGGAGCACAGGGACTGGCCTCCTGCTGGGACTCTGAGGAGGAGCACAGGGACTGGCCTCCTGCTGAGACTATTGAGTGAGGAGCACAGGGACTGGCCTCCTGCTGGGACTCTGAGGAGCACAGGGACTGGCCTCCTGCTGGGACTCTGAGGAGCACAGGGACTGGCCTCCTGCTGGGACTCTGAGGAGCACAGGGACTGGCCTCCTGCTGGGGCTCTGCGGAGCACAGGGACTGGGGAGGCAGCGTTTCAGATTCATTTAGCTAAAAATCTGGAACTGTCTTCCTGAAAACGTGAGACAGGCTTCTTCTCTGAAAAACCGAGGTTAAAAACAGTTATTTTAGCTGAAACAACTGAAGGATTGTGTCTTCGATCTTTGCTTATTTAATACATTTTGAGTTTTCTTGTGAATAAACCGTGTTCTACTCATAAACTCTTACTACAGTACATCGCATTAGCTTCTTTCTGTGGAGACTTTATCAATAAAACAGTGTTATTTTTAGCAACAGACACAAAGTGAGAGCCAAAAATACAGATCAATTTGTCCGACAGCAGGAGCAGAGCAGAGTGGAGGCCCCTCGTTCTCTCGCGTGGCTAAACTTTAGAAAACCGCCTGGAAACGAATGGAACCGTCTAACGCATCTTGTTCTGCGTCTGATCAGAAAAGTCCGGACTCTCTCTGAGCCGCTGCCAAGAACCGGCGCTCCCATTGTCTGCACCGGGCCATCTGTCACCGCGGCAACTTTACACAAACCAGGAAACGAGGGGAGACTTTTAATTGGTCCGTGGAGGATAAAGGCACGTTCAAGGGAAGAGCGTTGATTAGAAAATATCTGCGATTTCAGGAGGCTCCATCGCTCAGGTCCCGACGTCCCGAGAGGCTCCCGGGGCCCGAGAGGTGCCCAGGAAAATCTGCCGTATGATGTTGTTTCATTTTGTCCTGATTATCCTCCAGGGGGAGCCGTTTGAGAGCGGAGCCAGCGAGCAGGTGGGTTCTGCTCGCTTACATGAAGAAGTGGCGTCCAGAAACACGGCCAAAAAAACATTTGTGAATTCAGAATGGTGTGTGTGAGTCACTGGGAGTCAGAGAGAGAGAGAATAAAGAGAGAGAGACTAGAGAGAGAGAAGGACCATAAAGAGACTGGAGAGAGACTAGAGAGAGACTAGAGAGAGACTAGAGAGAGAGACTAGAGAGAGAGAAGGACCATAAAGAGACTGGAGAGAGACTAGAGAGAGAGAAGACCAGAGAGAGACTAGAGAGAGACTAGAGAGAGAGAAGACCAGAGAGAGACTAGAGAGAGACCAGAGAGAGACTAGAGAGAGACCAGAGAGAGACTAGAGAGAGACTAGAGAGAGACCAAAGAGAGACCAGAGAGAGACTAGAGAGAGAGTAGAGAGAGAGAAGGACCATAAAGAGACTGGAGAGTGTCCAGAGAGAGACTAGAGAGAGAGAGTAGAGAGAGGAACTAGAGATAGACCAGAGAGAGACTAGAGAGAGACTAGAGAGAGGGAGGGAGACCAGAGAGAGACCAGAAAGAGAGACCAGAGAGACCAGAGAGAGACCAGAAAGAGACTAGAGAGAGAGTGGAGAGAGGGACTAGAGCGAGACCATAGAGAGACTGGAGAGAGTAGAGAGAGGGAGAGAGAGAGACCAGAAAGAGAGACCAGAGAGAAACTAGAGAGAGACCAGAAAGAGAGACTAGAGAGAGGGACTAGAGAGAGACTAGAGAGAGAGAAGGACCATAGACTGGAGAGAGTAGAGAGAGGGAGAGAGAGAGACCAGAAGGAGAGACCAGAGAGAGAGACTAAAGAGAGAAACCTAGAAAGAGACTAAAGAGAGAGGGTCTAGAGAGAGGAACTAGAGAGAGAGACTAAATATAGGGTATAGACAGAGTAATAGAGCGAGAGACCAGAGAGAGAGACAACACTTTCTGTGTGGAGTTTTCTTGCATAGGTTTCCTCCAGGTGCTCCGGATTCCAGGGAGCTTTGACACCATCAAACTGTAATTACAGTTTTATTTGATGTAAAAACACTTCAGAGCCGCTCTCTCTCTGCTTGAGTCTCCTTCTGGTCTCTCTCTCTGCTCGACTGTCCTTCTGGTCTCTCTCTCTCCGCTTGAGTGTCCTTCTGGTCTCTCTCTCTCTGCTCGAGTGTCCTTCTGGTCTCTCTCTCTCTGCTCAAGTGTCCTTCTGGTCTCTCTCTCTCTGCTCGAGTGTCCTTCTGGTCTCTCTCTCTCTGCTCGAGTGTCCTTCTGGTGTCTCTCTCCGCTCGAGTGTCCTTCTGGTTTCTCTCTCTCCGCTCGAGTGTCCTTCTGGTCTCTCTCTCTCTGCTCGAGTCTCCTTCTGGTCACTCTCTCTGCTCGAGTGTCCTTCTGGTTTCTCTCTCTCCGCTCGAGTCTCCTTCTGGTCTCTCTCTCTGCTCGACTGTCCTTCTGGTCTCTCTCTCTCTGCTCGAGTGTCCTTCTGGTCTCTCTCTCTCTGCTCGAGTGTCCTTCTGGTCTCTCTCTCCGCTCGAGTGTCCTTCTGGTCTCTCTCTCTCTGCTCGAGTGTCCTTCTGGTCTCTCTCTCCGCTCAAGTGTCCTTCTGGTCTCTCTCTCTCTGCTCGAGTGTCCTTCTGGTCTCTCTCTCTGCTCGAGTGTCCTTCTGGTTTCTCTCTCTCCGCTCGAGTGTCCTTCTGGTCTCTCTCTGCTCGAGTGTCCTTCTGGTCTCTCTCTCTGCTCGAGTGTCCTTCTGGTCTCTCTTTCTCCGCTAAAGTGTCCTTCTGGTCTCTCTCTCTGCTCGAGTGTCCTTCTGGTCTCTCTCTTTCCGTTCGAGTGTCCTTCTGGTCTCTCTTTCTCCGCTCGACTGTCCTTCTGGTCTCTCTCACTCTGCTCGAGTGTCCTTCTGGTCTCTCTCTCTCTGCTCGAGTGTCTGGTCTCTCTCTCTCTGCTCGAGTGTCCTTCTGGTCTCTCTCTCCGCTCGAGTGTCCTTCTGGTCTCTCTCTGCTCGAGTGTCCTTCTGGTCTCTCTCTCTCCGCTCGAGTGTCCTTCTGGTCTCTCTCTCTCTGCTCGAGTGTCCTTCTGGTCTCTCTCTCCGCTCAAGTGTCCTTCTGGTCTCTCTCTCTCTGCTCGAGTGTCCTTCTGGTCTCTCTCTCCGCTCAAGTGTCCTTCTGGTCTCTCTCTCTCTGCTCGAGTGTCCTTCTGGTCACTCTCTCTGCTCGAGTGTCCTTCTGGTTTCTCTCTCTCCGCTCGAGTGTCCTTCTGGTCTCTCTCTGCTCGAGTGTCCTTCTGGTCTCTCTCTCTGCTCGAGTGTCCTTCTGGTCTCTCTTTCTCCGCTAAAGTGTCCTTCTGGTCTCTCTCTCTGCTCGAGTGTCCTTCTGGTCTCTCTCTTTCCGTTCGAGTGTCCTTCTGGTCTCTCTCTCTCCGCTCGAGTGTCCTTCCGTTCTCTCTCACTCTGCTCGAGTGTCCTTCTGGTCTCTCTCTCTCTGCTCGAGTGTCCTTCTGGTCTCTCTCTCTCTGCTCAAGTGTCCTTCTGGTCTCTCTCTCTCTGCTCGAGTGTCCTTCTGGTCTCTCTCTCTCTGCTCGAGTGTCCTTCTGGTCTCTCTCTCTCTGCTCGAGTGTCCCGCTGGTCTCTTTCTCTGCTCAAGTGTCCTTCTGGTCTCTCTTTCTCCGCTCGGTGTCCTTCTGGTCTCTCTCTCTCTGCTCGAGTGTCCTTCTGGTCTCTGTCTCTCCGCTCGAGTGTCCTTCTGGTCTCTCTCTCTCCGCTCGAGTGTCCTTCTGGTCTCTCTTTCTCCGCTCGGTGTCCTTCTGGTCTCTCCAAGGTCGCTTCTCCGTCGGTGGAAGTGGCCTCTCCAGTTCTGTCGAGTGTCTCCCGCTCGGAAAACTAACTTTTACTCCACCAGTATTTACTTTTTCTCTCTCGGTTTTGCGTCCGCGGTGTTTGACTTTGAAGCGTGCTCTGGCTCCGTGTCCAAAGAGCGAGGGCGAGTGAAGCGGAGCCAGAGAGTGGAACATACCACATTCACACAAACACCACGGCTTCAAACAAAACAGATGTCCACTTTTTCAGAATAAAAAGCTCAATTACCTCGTTCCTGATAGCGGGGGTCCGGGCGCCATCATCCCCCGCCGCAGAGGGGGAGGGGGAGGGGTAGGGGGAGGGGATGGACGAGGCAGAGGACGGAAAAATGATCCAAAGAATCTTGAAAAAGTATAGAAGAAACAACAGGTGCATTCATCAGGTTTGTCAACATTTGATCTGGACTGAAAGTGAAGTGTGATGTTCATGAGAGAGACACTGAGAGAGAGAGACCAGAAAGAGAGATAAGAGAGACAGACCAGAGAGAGACCACAGAGAGACCACAGAGAAGCCAGAGAGAGAGAGAGACTAGAAAGGGTCTAGAAAGAGACCAGAAAGAGAGAGAAGAGACACAGACCAGAGAGAGAGACCACTCTGATCATTCCCTGTAATCCCTCTCTCAGGTCTCTCTCTAGTCTCTCTCTGGTCTCTCTCTGGTCTCTCTCTGGTCTCTCTCTGGTCTCTCTCTGGTCTCTCTCTAGTCTCTCTCTGGTCTCTCTCTCAGGTCTCTCTCTGATCTCTCTCTCTGGTCTCTCTGTCATGTCTCTTTCTCTCTGGTCTCTCTCTCTGGCCTCTCTCTAGTCTCTCTCTGGTCTCTCTCTGGTCTCTCCCTAGTCTCTGGTCTCTTCTCTCTCTCTGGTCTCTTCTCTCTCTCTGGTGTCTCTCTCTCTCTGGTCGCTCTCTCTCACCTGACTCATGTTTCTGTCTGAGTGTGACCTTGGCGTATAGCCACAGCTGCCCCGGGGCGAGCAGGGGAGGTGGCTGTCTGACTGTGACCTTGGCTGTAGTCACAGCTGCCCCGGGGCAAGCAGGTGAGGTGGCTGTGAGTCTGTGGTGGAGAATGTTTGTGTTTGTTTCTCCAGTTGCTTCTTTTATCGTCCAGCTGCAGGTTTATGGGAAACAAGCTGCAGCTCAGAGACAGATGGAGACACACACAGCTCCTGTAACTAGCATCGTTACAGAGGGAGAGGAGAGAGGGAGAGGAGAGGGGAGGAGGGGAGGAGGGGAAGAGAGAGGGAGAGGGAGAGGGAGAGGAGAGAGAGAGGAGAGAGAGAGAGAGGAGAGAGGGGAGGAGGGAGGATAGGGGGAGAGGGAGAGGGAGAGGGAGAGGGAAAGGAGAGAGAGAGAGAGGAGAGAGGGAGAAGAGAGAGGGAGAGGAAGGAGGGAGTCCCTCTCTGGTCTCTATCTACTCTCTCTCTCTTGTCTTTCTTTTGTCTCTCTCTCTCTCGCTGGTATCTTTCTGTGTGTTCTCTCTCTCTCTCTGCTCTCTCCCTCTTGTCTCTTTCTGGTCTCTATCTTCCTACTCTCTCTCCCTCTCCCTGCTCTCTCTCGGGTCTCTCACTCTGCTCTCTCTCTTTCTCCTTCTCTCTCTCCCTGTCTCTCTCTGGTCTCTCACTCTGCTCTCTCTCTCTCTGCTCTTTCTCTCTCTGCTCTCTCTCTCTGTCGCCCTCTCTCTCTCTCGCTCTCTGCTCTCTTTTCTCTCACCCTCTCACTCTCTCTCTCTGTGCTCTCTCCCTCTCTCTTTGGTCTCTCTCTCTGGTCTCTCTCTCTGCTCTCTCTCTCTCTGCTCTTTCTCTCTCTCTCTCCTCTCTCCCCCTCTCTCTCTCTCCCTCTCTCTCTCGCTCTCTGCTCTCTTTTCTCTCACCCTCTCTCTCTCTCTCTCTCTCTGAAAGTAGAAACAGCAGAGTTGCGTTCGCTCCAGTCCACGGTGGTTTTCTGCGGCGCTCGCCTCGTGTCAAATGACGAATAGAATCTCAGCGTCCAATAAATCACTGAGCGACGATAAAAATGAAACTATCCCCGAGACGGAGAGCGGAGGCCGGAGCGAGACATCATTTCAATACAGCTGTGTGTGAGAGAAACCCCAGAGCCCATTCCTCATATGGATCCCAAGCTTATTCTTCTTTGCAAAACAGCTGTTCGTTTTTGACGGCTTGTCTCTGTTTGACTGATTAAAGAGAGACCAGAGAGAGACCAGAGAGAGACACCAGAGAGAGAGACCAGAGAGAGACCTGAGAGAGACCAGAGACAGAGACCAGAGAGAGAGACCAGAGAGAGACCAGAGAGAGACGTGAGAGAGACCAGAGAGAGACCAGAGTGAGACTAGAGAAAGACCAGAAAGAGACCAGAGAGAGACCAGAGACCAGAGTGAGACTAGAGAAAGACCAGAGAGAGACCAGAGAGAGACCAGAGAGAGATAGAGAGAGACCAGAGAGAGACCAGAGAGAGACCAGAGAGAGACCTGAGAGAGACCAGAGAGAGACCAGAGTGAGACTAGAGAAAGACCAGAGCAGAGAGAGACCAGAGAGAGACCAGAGAGAGACCAGAGAGAGACCAGAGAGAGACTAGAGAGAGACCATAGAGAGACCAGAGAGAGACTAGAGAGAGACCATAGAGAGACCGGAGAGAGACCAGAGAGAGACCAGAAAGAGACCAGAGAGAGACTAGAGAGAGACAATAGAGAGACCGGAGAGAGACCAGAGAGAGACCAGAGAGAGACCAGAGAGATACAAAAGAAAGAGACCATAAAGAGACCAGAGAAAGAGGGTCACTGACCTGATCCATCTCTGAGTAGATTGAGAGACAGATGTTTTGTGACTGGTTTTTGAAAAGGTGAACAATATTATTATTATTTTCATAAATATCCATCCATCCATCCATTTTCTACCCTTGAATCCATTTCTGGGTCAGGGGGGTGGCAGTCAGAGATGCCCCCCAAGTCTCATAGCACCAGCCCCTCACTGACCCTCTGCAGGTGGTGAGTCCACAGGAGGACGGCTGCTCTCTGACTGTGAGCATAGCCTTGATCTTCAGTGGGGGCTTTGGGCAAAGTGGGGTTAAGTGTCTTGCCCAAGGACACAACGACAGCAGTCATCAGTGGGAGTCGTGAAGAAGGTGTGGAGGTGGGAATTGAACCCACGACCTGAAGGCCAATGCTCTACCAACTGAGCTACTGTCGCCCCCAAATATTTTATAAATATGGATTATTTAAATCAAGATTACTCATAAGCCATTATGAGTCCCAGCAGGAGGCCAGTCCCTGTGCTCCTCAGAGTCCCAGCAAGAGGTCAGTCCCTGTGCTCCTCAGAGTCCCAGCAGGAGGTCAGTCCCTGTGCTCCTCAGAGTCCCAGCAGGAGTCCAGTCCCTGTACTCCTCAGAGTCCCAGCAGGAGGCCAGTCCCTGTGCTCCTCAGAGTCCCAGCAGGAGGCCAGTCCCTGTGCTCCTCAGTGCCCCAGCAGGAGGCCAGTCCCTGTGCTCCTCAAAGTCCCAGAAGGAGGCCAGTCCCTGTGCTCCTCAGAGTCCCAGAAGGAGGTCAGTCCCTGTGCTCAGAGTCCCAGCAGGAGGCCAGTCCCTGTGCTCCTCAGAGTCCCAGAAGGAGGCCAGTCCCTGTGCTCCTCAGAGTCCCAGAAGGAGGTCAGTCCCTGTGCTCCTCAGAGTCCCAGAAGGAGGTCAGTCCCTGTGCTCAGAGTCCCAGCAGGAGGCCAATCCTAAATCACAACAGTAGTTATCTGGACTTTAAAGAGCTGCTGATTAAAACACGCAGAGACTAATGTACATACGTCCTTGTTACTGATGTCCTGGTTCCTCCCCATGGTCCTGCACAGTCACTCCCCATGGTCCTGCACAGTTACTCCCCATGGTCCTGCACAGTTACTCCCCATGGTCCTGCACAGTTACTCCCCATGGTCCTGCACAGTCACTCCCCATGGTCCTGCACAGTTACTCCCCATGGTCCTGCACAGTCACTCCCCATGGTCCTGCACAGTTACTCCCCATGGTCCTGCACAGTTACTCCCCATGGTCCTGCACAGTCACTCCCCATGGTCCTGCACAGTCACATACATCGAGTGGAGTTGATTTAAAGGAGAAGTGAGTAAATTTGTGACTGAGCTGTGTGTGGAGGAGCTGCAGACTGTTCTCTCTGTTCTGTGCTGAATGACACTGTTGTCGTGACGATGGATTCTGACGCCTTCACGCCATCGGAGTCCAACAGGAAGTGTCTTTGCTGTGGACAAAGTCACGGTTATTACAGTCTCTCTCTGGTCTCTCTCAGGTCTCTCTATGGTCCCTCTCTCCGGTGTGTCTCTCTCTGTTCTCTCTCTCTTGTTCCTCTCTCTGGTCTCTCAAGGGTCTCTCTCTCTGGTTTGTCTCTCTCTGGTCTCACTCTCTCTAGTCTCTCCCTGGTCTCTCTCTGGCCTCTCTCTCTAGTCTCTCTCTCTCTGGTCTCTCCCTGGTCTCTCTCCGGTCTCTCTCAGGCATCTCTCTCTGGTTTGTCTCTCTCTGGTCTCACTCTCTCTGGTTTCTCTCTCTCTGGTCTCTCTTTGGTCTCTCTCCGTCTGGTCTCTCTCTGGTTTCACTCTCTCTGGTTTATCTCTCTCTGGTCTCACTCTCTCTGGTTTCTCTCTCTCTGGTCTCACTCTCTCTGGTTTCTCTCTCTCTGGTCTCTCTCTGGTTTCTCTCTCTCTGGTCTCACTCTCTCAGGCCTCTCTCTGGTTTCTCTCTCTCTGGTCTCTCTCTCTCTCTAACCAAATATACATACTGCTAAAACGCTGAAATCCTCTTCTCTGCAGCTTCCAGAACCATCAGTACAAAGCTGCCTCTCTGCTCCCACACTTCAGACTCCTCTCCTCTCTCTTTTGACGCTCTCTTTAATGTAGATTTGACAACTTTTACTTTCCTCTTTTCTCTTGCCGCTCTCTCACTGACAGCCGCGGTCCCCGAGAAAGCGCCGTATATGTGAATGCTAATCCTGGCGCAGCATCAAAGGCGCGGGGAGGTGCGATTGTTACAGTAATCCCCCGGGATCGCTAATGGGCCAAAGTGAATGAGAGCGTGGATTAGACGCCTGTGACGGCCCATGTATTCCGTAATTAGCCCGTTAGCATCCCGGCGACGGAGGGATGAGCCGGGACTTAGCCAGGAATCTGACAGAGGC